TTAAATTTTGTCTTTGAAAAGTATTTACTAATTGGTTTGTCCTTAAATCATAAAGCTCCATGTATCGTGCACCCTCATGTGTAGTATCAACTAAAAAATAATGCTGATTCAAACATCTTGTAATATATTTCATGCTAAAACCAGCTACCATTTTTCTATTATAACTCAGGGCATTGTATGTTCGCTTTGGATATTTAAATCTTTGAATCATTTTATTAACATTCGGATTCAAGATAAAGTTTTTATAAATCCCAGTGACATTTAAAATATTAAGAAAGATTCTTTTCATATTCGGCTTCTCATCGAGATCATCTCTTGAAACCGATTTAACTATTCCGCCATACTCCTTCATATTTGGCTTCTTATCATCTCTTGAAAACAATTTGACTATTCCGCCATATTCGTTAAATTCCTTCACTTTTTCTCCAATAGAATTATCTTTGTTAATAGTAAAAACGATGGTAAACCCTGATGTCCCCCTTTTTTTGGTGTCTTCTTTAGTTTCTTCTTTTTTAGAGCCATTTTTCTTAGTGTATCCTTTAGGTGACATATCATCCTTACTTATACAAGATATCGCCAATAATCTAACAACTGATTTATATGGCTTTTGACCGTTAAATTTTTCTGATACAGCAATAGACCAACCCAATATATTTTCAGATGTAATTAATTCATATTGATTTTCTGTAAATTTAAATGTTTTGGAGATAGAAACATGAGAAAATTTTCTATCCGAATAACTATCATTATAATTCAGATCCGAGTGGTCATCTTTATCATCTTGATCCGACTTAATAATAATTTCATACATGCGAAATTTGTATTTCAATTTGGGATCCGGTTCATTTTTGAATAATACTGTAAATTTGGTAGTTATTATAAATTAAGAATTACAAAAGAATTTCATATTAAAAGCAATACATTATGATAAATAGTTATTCTGCAGAAATTTTTTACCTAATTCAACTGCAAAATTGCCGTTTGGACTAACAGCCAAATATAGTTCTTTTATTTTTTCTTCTTCAACTTCGACAGTAACACTTCCAGATGACATGGCACGATAATTTCTTTATGATTAAATTAATCAAATAAGTATGAAATAACTAATGAAATTATTGCTTTGAAATTTCTGTGAACTAAAAATTTTGATGACACATTGTTTTATTTTATTAATTTTTTTAACTCGATATCATTTTTACTTTTTATATTTATAGTGGCTATTCAAAAGTACAGATTCTTTCTGCGTCAAGCCACTTGTTTTTTATTTGTTTTTTTTTTTTTTAAATCAACAAATCTATCAAAAGGTATAATATGCATTGTGGCATACTGTTGACACAGAACTGGTCAATATGAATAAGGCTTGTAATCGACATGAATAAGAGTTGCTGAGAAACGAAATTTGTCTTTTTTGACAGTAGAAAATTAGCGCTAAGCCTTTTAAACAATACGCATGATTTATAAGTGTATTATTTTTAAAGCGGTTTGTAGTTATTATTAATTCATAAAAAAGTATTTTGGTTTTTTTTCTATCCAAAAATAACGTTACGCGATTGTTTTATAATAGAAGAAAAGGTAACTTAATAACATATTTGTCATAGTAGTTGGAATCAAATGTCCCACCGACTTTCATTTGAGACAATATTAATAATATATACTGTATTTAATACGAAGTCGTTACAATAATTTTCAGAATTTTAACAGATAATATATTTTAGAGTCATTAATTTCACATGAGAAGGTATCAAGTACGTCAGTGTTACAGTGCAAGTGTAACGATAGCAATATATCAAAAAAAAATAATAATAATATTTAATTTTAACCAACCAGAATTCCAGTGATTAGTCAACCAAACAAATTTCCTCATGCTTAGATTGAAATTATTTATAAGAAATGAAAAATAAGAAACCTAATCCTGAAAGACGAAAATTACGAAACTCCTGCGAAAGACAAAACGTTGAAGATAAAACTTCCGCAAAAACAAATCCCTTGTGGAAGATGAAGCCTCAATCCAACAGGAAATTCCTTGCGAAAGAAGAAGCCTCAATCCAATAAGAAATTCCTTTTAAAGATGAAGCCTCAATTTAATTTGAAGTAGAAACCAATGCAGTGGTTTGTGGGCAAAGTCATTATTCTTGAATAATCCCTCTGTATAATACAAACTGAATAAAAATAAGCTAGAGCAAAGCCGTAAGTTTAAAATATGTTACTAAATAAATATATGAAAGCAACGGCTTCTTTTGTTTATTTATATTTGAATGTCGTAAGGCGGCAAACTATACGTTGATGCTGAATGATTTATCTGATACTTTTAAATTTAAAGAAACACACGGAATAATATTTCCATTTTTTTAATTTTATAACTCAAATTATGGTTTTCGTTGAGGTCTAAAAACAAAATATATGATTAACGCAAAGGAAAACATGTAAATCTAAACTTCAATTGTTACAATACCACTTCTAAACAATTAAGAAATGATATAAAAAATTTCTTTTAATTAGGGTAGCTGTAAGAGGCAGTTACGCTTGAACCAGGAATGTAGTATAATCACTAAACTCATATTAAGAATCCAAGACCTTTTTTAATGTTTGAAAATAGTAACTAATTAACATATGCAATTCTATTTCAAAGCATTGTTTATCTTATCAATTGCAAATCTCACGAGGTATAGGTGGGAATGAGAAATTTAAGTTTACTATGTATGCTACATAGTTTACATGTGAAATATCGATATATATGTCGTTAAGTGGTAATGGATTTAAGTGGATTTGGAATTTTCTAGTTAAATTGGGGTTATGGATAGGGTGTATATGTTGTAAATTAGGGATGGGCAAATTTTTTACATATTTCTTATGTATTCTTATTTAAGATTTTGTTGCAATAGGTAATAATGAGAAATTATGTCATTAATCATTAACTTTGTTTTTTGAACACTCTTAATGATGTACAAGCTCACGTTGGTACGTCCTCATGTTCGTTCCTCACAATTTTATCAAGTGATCTATTACTCTTAAAAATTATGTAATAATATGTAATAATTCATAAAATATGTAAGGCCTAAAAAATACATATCGATTACATAAAAAATTACATTGCCCATCCCTATTGTAAATGGAATCGGAATTTAAGTGGATTCGGAGTTTTTATATAAAACCCGTATCTATCCCTAACCAATGTTACGGGATAAATTGTATTCTTTCGTTTAATATTAGAATTTTATAGAGAATCAGGAACAGTGATACGAAACTAATAGTTTTGTACTTGTAAATGGATTTTTAAATTCTCGCCAGAGACGTGATAATAGTGATTTGGCGAATAAGTATTTTATTATACATATATCTTTTAGTTCTGTTTTCTTTTACAACTCGAAGGTCTGTCCCCTTTACAAAGGTGAAATATAAGTTCTTTTATAAGTTTTCATGCATTAAGGGGTGAGGATAGAGATGGGACACTGCGCAGGCATTTTTTGAGGCTGCGCAGTGCAATTTTCATAATTCTGGCCAGCTTTATAATCCAGGTTTGAATTACCAATCGGAAATCGGCCTGAAAGAAAAATGGATCTGCATCACCTGATTAATAGATCCATCATTCATAATTCTGGTCAAACTTGCAGATCATTTGACCACATTTAAAGTTGTTTTGTTCTAGATCTGGCCAAATAATCTGCAAATTTGACCAGAATTATTAATTCACCGATATGCAGAGAAAAAGTGAAAAAACGCAAAACAACAAAAACTGACAACCTTGAAGCACTAATTAAAAATAATGGGAGCCCAAGTTTATACATATGAAGTAGATGTTTTATATATATAAACGCGAAACCTAATAATAAAAGTCTCTAGGGACTGAGGCTGTGCAGGCTGCGCAGTAGATTTAAAAAAACCTCGATTTTTCCATTTCTAGGTGAGGGGCTTTGATAATTTATTTATCCCTTTTACTGCCAAGACAGAAGGGTTTTTAAATGTTAAGTTTTTATATTATCTTTTTTAATTTAATAGTAACTTGATTAATTTGTGTATTTCTGTCTGTTTTTCTTTATCTTTGAATCCTTATTCATTACTTTACTTTGCATTTGTTTTCTTACATATTCATGTCACAGTTACAGCCACTTGTTTATTTTATAATTAATGACCTAAGCTTCATAAGTCAAGGTCAAACATTTACTGACTAAATGTCAAAATCACAATTTTTCAAACTAGTTTAACTTGAGTTGATAATATAGCATTATATTTTGTAAATCTTACTTTTAGTCTGTAACATTCTTCTTTAATTATTTTATTACATCATTAAAATAGGTATAGTAAATTGATGTAAATAAGCAAATTAAAGATTTCTTTTTAATTAATTTTATAATTTATTTCAAGTTTGATATTTTTTAAGAATTTTTAATTTATCAGTATCTTAATTACTTTTTCATTAACAATATAGGGTCTAAACATTCTTTTTAACAAAACTCTATAAATAACAAAAGTTTCTTCTATTTAGAATAAAGTTTATAACTTTTCAAATTTACTTGTAAGGTTTTGTATACTAACACAAGATCTTTTTTCTTTAATTTTTTTAAAAGTCATAACTGCTAATTATGTTTTTCTTTAATTACATGCTGTGCTGCTTTAACTCTCTTAATTGCTATACTCTGGGCTTCTGATATTTCATCAATTAATTCAAAAAGCCTTTGCAAGAATGTTCTTTTTAACAATTCTTAAGACTTACTTGAATGTATTAGAAGATATGCTTTTTTTCTATAAACTAAATAGAATAATAATATCTTTGTTGTATTTGCTTTATAGTATAATAGACAAAGAGAATTGATGATATTAGTAAATCTCACTCTTAAACATTAATTATTAGTTCAGTTATAGATTTACAGAGTGTTTTATTGAACCTTTTAATCAAGTTGTTAATTTATAAATAAGAAAGTAATAGTCTATTCTAATTTTTTTAAAAATTCTTTTATCAGACTATTCCTAAAATGTGTACTTCTGTTTAATAACTTGAAAATAAAAACCATTATAAATTTAGAGCAAAATTATATAAGATTTGTTGTATTACAAAAATAAGCAAATAGAGATAAACAGAAAATTCAAAGTTACAGTTTTGATATTTTTATTATTAATGCATCAATAATGATACTTTTATATGCATCAAAAATATAACTTTTATATCACTTTGCATAGAAATTGAGCATTCTCTGTTATGTTCTAGACAATAAACATTAAGAACAACTATGCTAATATACAATTTCTTTATAAATAAATCTGCTACTTTATTTGCATTTGTTGCCTTAATAGTTTTAGTCTCTAGCTATTTGGTTATATAGTCTGTTGCTACAATTATATTTTATTTTTTAAGATTGTTTTTGATAAAAGTTCAATAATATTGATTTCAACTTTAAAAATAAAGGCTCAACTAAAATTGAATATAACAGAGATTTTATTAAGTTTTTATCTTGTCTTTGACAAGCATTACAAATTTGTACATATATTTTATGTTTTTATATATTTAAGATCAGTATTATTTATATAGATTTTGTAAAACATAATATCTTTTTTGAAGTAACCTTCAAGCAGATAAATATGCATTATAAATAAAATTAGTTATATTTTATATTTTTATATAACGATTAATAATTCATTTAATTAATATTTATTTTTTTGCAAAAAAATAGTAATTTTAATGTAGTGATTGAGTTATCATTCTCCAAGTGGCAGGTTTAAGGTCAAATCCTACTTTCAATGAAATTTGGAAATTAACTTGTAGTATAGCAAACTGTCTCGTATTGATTAATTGAATTTAGACATGATTTGTAATCTTAGATGTATTAAGTCAAGTTCTATCTGTTATATGGTAGCTTGAAACATTTATATAAAGTATAATATTATATATATATAGAGAAATATTAATAATACTGTATAAAAAAAATTATACCAATAGCTATACAAATTAACTGAAACACAACATGGTCTTATCTTAACAACAACAACAACAAAAGATCATCACTATATACAAATTTTAAACTTTGTTATAACAAAGTCTTAAAATTAAAACAATACTAA